ACATCGTGTTACATCATCGCACTTCTTCGGGACTTACCAGCTATTTATTCTAAGTAATATTACAGTACTGCTAGAAAACTGCCCCTTGCGATCTACAGTATACTAAAGACTGAATATTATAATAATGTGATTGATCCATTCTGCTTTATAACAGTGACTACATACAGTATGTAGAATAATAATAATAACGGAATAGCAGGAAGATAACTTTACTAACGCCGTTGTATGATGATATATATTGGATTCAATATCGTTACTTAAAATTAGTTAGCTAGCTATCCAGTTAATATTTGACTCGCACCAAATCGGTCGAGACCATTTACCACGATATTACTATCACGGCAACTTCATCTAGTTATTACCATACTACCGATTAAAGATAACTTCAATGCTGTCGCATTTTGAAACATATTAGACTGCATATCGTTACTTAAAATTAGATAGCTTACTATCCACTTAATATTTACACCAAATTAGTCGCGATCTTATACCACAGTATTACTATCGTAATAACTCAACCCAGTTATTATCATACTATAAATTAATTATCTAACCTAATGTCTGCATCTTTATTATCAATAAACTGATAGTAGCACCACTCTCATACCTACTGCTTGCAAATGTTTATTTTAGAAAAGATGAAGAATGGAAAAAATTTCGTAGTGTGATGGACAAGAAAATGATGAGACCACATGAAGTAACATGCTATTCTGATAGAATCAATGATGTCTGCAATGATCTCATCCAACGTCTTAAACGATGTCGTGGTAACGACGGTATTATACCCGATATCGAGAATGAAATCAATAAATATACAGCAGAGTGTAAGTAAAAATAAATCAATTTACTCAAGAAAACATTCTTACGTAATTTATATATCTTATTCATTTTACGGCTACATCACTAGCATGCAAAGATTTATAGATGCAAGATATATGACATCTATAGGTTTATCCCCCGCTAATCTACAATATTGACGGAATACTATTTATATCTAGCTATTGCAACTGTTCTATTCGAAAAACGTTTGGGAATGTTCAAAGAGCCAATCGAACCTAAAGCTGAACAGTTCTATCAATCTATTACCAAAATTTTAGAAGCTATTAATGAAATATTTATTGTCCCTCCCTTCATTTTCAAGTATATCTTTACTAAGCACTGGAAAGAACTTATTAAATGGAACGATATCGCTTCCGAATTCGCTGATGAGATTATTGAAGAGAAAAGAAAACAAATTGAAAAGAAGATTGCGAGCAAGGATGATATAACCCGATCGGACGATCGAGTCGATTTTCTTAGTTATGTTATTGCTACAGGTAAATTAACTCGAAGTGAAGCCAATGTAGCCATGACGGAATTACTTTTCAGCGGA